GAAACACTTCCTCTCATCCTCCCCCCCCTCTCCCTCCCCCTCCCCCTCCCCCTCCTCCTCCTCCTCCTCCTCCTCCTCCCTCTCCTCCTCCTCCCCCTCCTCCTCCTCCTCCTCACCCGCCCGCCAATGTGAAATTTCCGTTTGTGGTTTCCGTAGCAAGGTGGCGTGGAGGCAGCGGACAGACGGGTCCGAGCTTCGAGAGTACTCCACGTCGATTGCCGAGGGGTTCAAGAAGAATGGCACCCGCGTCCACACTGCGCAGTTCGGGGACGATTCGACTTGGAGAGTTCCAGATTCGGCAATGGTGCCTGCTGCATCGGCCGAGAAGCCGAATTGCACGGTGTGGAGCGGCCCGCTGAAGGGCGAGAAGGAGGCGACGGTCAAGCTCACATGGGTCACGAAGAAGGACGTCTCGTGGTTGGCAATGTGGGTGGTCAGGCCATCGAAGCGGGACGAACAGAAGCTCCAGTTGCTCAACTTCGCGGCGGACAACAAGACCGCGGAGGCATTCGCTCTGGGCTTGGCGAAGGACTTCGCATCGGGAACAAAGGACAAGCCTGAGATGGAGTCGGCCAAGAAAGCTTGGCTGGACGAACACGGACGCAAAGGAGGCAAGCCAAAGGGCAAGGGCAAGGCGAAAGGAAAGGCGAAACCAAAAGGGCAGAAGAAGTCATCAGGTGATGCTGCAGCTGCACCGAGCTTCGAGAAAGAGGGCGGAGATGATGACGCCTCGGAGATTGCAGATGCTGCAGATGACGACGATGATGATCGTCCTCCTCCAGCTGTGGACGATGATGACTCATCGGGCGACGGTAGTGAGAGCATGAAGAGCGAGGAGGCTGTTCAGAGCCAGGCTGCTCCGAGCAACGCGGGGACCGAGCCCAAGAAGATCAGCGGCAAGAAGATGTCCAACGTGGAGACGGAGCTGATGGGCGCGACGGTCACCGACACGACAGTGATCAGGCCCAGGGCGAAGGTGAAGTGCAGCTCGGGCGGCAAGTCCAGGGAGCAGGACGCGGTGAAGGTCCAGCGCGACCTCGCGCAGCCCGCAGCCCAGCCGCCACAGCAGCACCAGCAGGCGCCGCCAGCGGCTCCGGAGCAGGTGCGCGAGGCGCAGCCGAGCGGCATCCCGCGGCCGCCGCCGCCAGACTTCGATGTGTTTTGAGTTGAGGTGAAATAGAACTAACCTCCGCATCCGTCGTTGGTCGCTCGTGGGCGGCAAATCTGGAACTATGTCGCACGGGGCTCTCCCAGTGGGAGGGGTCCGCACGACATATGTGAGCTAATTTGGAATGGCGTGGCGCAGACTGTAGCGTGAATGGCTGTTGCGATGGAGTTCAACGCATTTTTTGCGAACTCTGGTCCCTGGTGTTTCTCCCTCTCCTCCTCCTCCTCCTCCTCCTCCTCCTCCTCCTCCTCCTCCTCCTCCTCCTCCTTCCCCTCCTCCTTCCCCTCCTCCTTCCCCTCCTCTCCCCTCTCATCGAAATCATCCTTTGCCCTCAACCCCGCCGATCAAGCAACAGCGGTTTAGCAGATCATGATTTGAGAAAGGGGGTACGACCGCAACTCTAAATGCTGAGACGAGAAGGGGGCCGTGCTAAATGTAGCCGACGATTGTTTCCTGTGCAACGCGCTCATGACCAGGGGTTCCTGAGAAAATTGTGAGGATGTGATGTGATAAATTTGCATGGGCGAGAAAGAACGAATGACGCAAGATCTGTGTATAGAATGTGATTACTACAACCCCCCGTTCGAGGCCACGACGTTCGGCCTATCTGATTTTTTTACGCAGGCATTATGCCCAAGTCGAGGGCGAAGCGATCGACAGCTTCGAAGGCCTCGAACGCTTCGAAGGCCCCTGCCTTCTCCACAGACTCTGGAACGCTGGAGTTTCACCCAATCCCACGCAACTGGATGGCTACACCTGTGGGGCGCCAACTGTTGGGCCTGGATCGCAACGCGGCTGACGCGGTGATCCCCGAGCTGCTGGAACATCTCCCAGAAGGACCCGAACGCGATGATGTTGAACGCATCAACGAGCAGAGGATGGCGGCAGCAGAGGCACAGGGGGCAGGGGCAAACACCTGCCGAAGATGAACTGGAACACGCCATACTCACGCGTGATCCTGCGGGGTTGGTCTCGGGTGGGATATCACTGCAACGACGACGAACCGTCAACGCACCGTCACTGCATCGTCAACGCGAGCGTTGACGGTTCGTTGACGGTTTGTTGTCGATGTGTTAGAGCTCCGGTGACGACTGGTCGCCATCACGAAAACGATGCGGGCGCATTTAGAGCAGAAGCAGGAGGGAACAGGAGGAGGAGGAGAAAGAGGAGGAGGAGGGGGAGGAGTCGTGGAGGATAATGTGGGAGATGAGATGACGAATGGTCGAGAGAATAGCATCCCTGCACAGGCAGACGCCACCGTCGACTACCGTGCTGGCGATCGGGATGGCATCACCGTGATGGAGCAGATCTTCGCACCAGTCATCGGCATCCCCGATGTGCCCGAGACCAGCGAGGAGGGCGACGCGGCGCTAGCGCATGAGCAGCCGCCGTCGGAGCCTTCCACCCAGCACGCGGCCGCGGAGGAGCCCGCAGAGTTGCTGGGGGCAGCGGAGCCGCGGGAGCCAGCGGGGACACAGGAGCTCGCGGGGTCGGAAGACGAATCCATGGGCGTGGAGTGGAGTGGGGCGACCATGGTTGACTCCGCGGATCGACCACTCGGTCGGGTAAATCAATCCCGCCATGCCCTGATGAGGTTGAGGATCGTGACAACAATGAGGAGATGAACGAGGAAACATATGAGACACACGATCAAAACGGAAAACGATGGTTAAACAGAAGGGCGATGTGACAGGAGACGCGGGTCGGCACCCATTCAGGATCAACTGGAACTGAGGCGGGAGATGGTGTGACGGAGGAGGACGGCGCGGATGATGAGGAGGAGAGGGGAAGGAGGAGGAGGAGAAGGAGTAGGATGGAGATGAGGAGGTGATGGCGATGTGAGGGGAATGAGGAGGAGGAGGAGGAGGAGGAGGAGGAAGAGGAGGAGGAGGAGGAGGAGGAGGAGGGGGTGAGGCGGAGGAGGATATGAGATCGGAGGCATGGAGCCGACCGATTTCCGAACTGCCTCAGGAGTCTCTGAGGTTCGCGGAGGGCATGCACGTGGTGGCTTCCAGCGAGGCAGGTGTCGCCCCGTCGCGCATCAACGACGATGAGACGCCATACTGGAGCCCACCGAAGGCGACGCAGCAGCACGATGCGGACCGAAGCTGTCGTCGTCGCCGTCGTCGGCATCGTGTCCACGCACTCGATCCTTCCTCCGACTTCCTATCCTCATCCCTTTTCTCATTCACCTCCTCCTTCTTCCCGTCCTCGAACTCTCTCATTCGCCCACTCGACTAAACCATTCACCGCCGTCGTCGCAGTCGTCGCTCTCTGCCCTAGAGGATGCCGAGCTGGCAGAGCTTCCTGCCGCGACTGTGCCTGCGACCGAGGACAGTGACGACGACCCGCTGACGCTTCCTGGCAGCCCCGCAGCGGTGAAGGCGGCGCAGATCAGGAGCGGCCGCAGCGGCGGCGGCACGGGCAGTGGCAGTGGCGACAAGCCGTCGGCGGCAGCGGCTGCAGCGCCAGCGCAGCCCCCTCGCCCGAAGCGACAGCGGACGCTGGCGCGGGCGGGGTCCGAGCCCATCTTCGGCAGGTCGGAGGAGCCCCAGACACCGATCAAGACCGACAAGAGGTCACTGGGCTCGTCCGAACCCGCTCGGGCGCTCACCCTGCTTTCTCCGACCCCACCTTATTCCCAATCTACAAATATACACACGCATCCCCACCTGCCTCCATTCACGCCCTCTCGTCCTCTGTCGTTCCTCCTGCTCCGCCACCACGCTCTCCTCGCGGGCATGGGGTCTAGAAAAACACAACACGTTTCGTGTGATTGATGGCCAACTTGAGGCCAGTCCCGCGGGGTCCTCGGTCCTCACCGTAAACATCCTCCGCTCTGGACTCCCATTTTGGGGACTGGTTGTTGTATTGTGCTGCTACCAGGGATGTGGACTCATTCTTCGGCGCCGCCAAGTCCATCGAGGATGTCATCCGCGATGGCGATACCCTTCCCGACGAGCTCGACGTGCTCAGCAAGCTCGAGAGCCTCGTGAAGAGTCAGCCGCTCGCCCAGTTCCGCAAGTGGGCCGAGGTGAACACGCCCCCGAGCGCGGAGAAGCCAGCAGAGACCGCGACGGTGGACGACAACGGCAAGCACATGTCCGAGAAGGACAGAAAGGAGTTCGAGTTCTGGAAGAATGCGGCGGCTTCGAACTTCGAGTTCGCGGCTAGGGGCATCGCGGGCAACCCCGCAGCGGGCAGGTGGCAGCGAGCTTATGAAGGACGTCCAGACCTCAAGGAGAGGTACGATAAGGCGACCGCTGGCTTGAGAGGGAAAGCTTTGTGGGCAAAGCAGGCAGAGTTCAAGCAGGGCTGGCTTCGGGAAGAACACATCAAGTACACGAAGACCCAGAGCAAGACTTCAACGATGAGGAAGCGCTGGGCAAACAAGGGGAAATACATGAGCATCGGGCGCATGGCCTGGAAAGAAGGTGGAGGGAAGGGGGGGTGGCTTCTCGCAACTAGGAGGTTCACTAAATGTATTGCAATGGGTCCACCATACATGAAGTATGACGGGTGGTCGGAATCATTGAAAGGGCTCTTCGTCGAAGAGGAGTACAGCGAGGAGTTCGACGAGGCGTGGACTCAGCATGAGGAGTGGCTGACGCAGATGGCGAACTCGCCCCAGGCAGCCACGGCCGCTGCAGCCACCGTTGCAGGATCGACAGCGGCGTCCGCAAGCGCGGTGCAGGCGACGCCCGCGGCCATCGCGCTCGCTGCAGCGGCCAGCAGCAGCTCTGGAACGCCACCCGCAGCCCCGCCGATTGAGATCGCGGATCTCGACAAGAAGAAGAAGAAGACGAGCATCACGAAGGTTACGCCCGCCGAGGTGCCTGGGTCTGGTGACGACGCGCAGCCAGGGCCCAGTGGTGACGCCAGCGGTGAAGCTGGCGGTGCTCCAGCCGATGATCAGCAGCCTCACAAGCGTCGCAAGACTGGCAAGGGCAAGCAGATTTCAGGGGACGATTCCGCGGCGACGCCGCAGTCGAAGATGGTCTCCACCCTGCTGAAGGACGCGAAGCCGATCATTGCCAAGTACGGATTGACGATGGTTGCTGCCCACACCACCATGAACAACATCCATAGCGGCAGGCCAGAGTGGACGTTCATGAGGGACCAGCCGACCCGCTTCGAGAAGCTGCAGACGGCCACATGGGGCAAAACCCCGCTAGCACGCAAACATCACATATCTCCTCCCCGTTTTGATATCCTCCTCCCCCAGCCTCCTCAACACGTCGACTGCTCCTGATACTCACCTCCCCAAGGTCATAGTTCCCGAGGGGTTGGGTAGGGTCCAGGGGCAACCGCCTAATATCATACCAGTAAAACTCCGAACGAGGACATATATGAAGGAAACAAATGTGGGTAGGGCTGGGTGAGGAATGAATCGAGGATGGAGGAGGTGAGGTAATGATGGGGGGTACGCGATGACATCTGGAATTTTGGGGAAGTCCTCGTGCACCACTGGTTGCGGTGTATCGGCGTGTTGTTGCATATTGCACACCCGTAGGCGATGAACAAGCTCAGCACCGAAGTGCAGAAGACCGATGGCCTCGACAAGCTGCTGACTGGCAAACTCGCTGACGTGAAGAAGGTGCTGGGCGAGGCCAAGTTCAATGCCGCGTGCGTGGCCGCCGCTAGCATCAAGCCATTCATTGAGGCCGTGGGCAAAGCGGACAAGATCGTCAACAAGGAGGTCCAGGCCCGCGAGGTCTCCGACTGAGCCAGACTGGCAGGTCAATGCCGTCGCCAGGGACACTGGCGTTTTTTCCAGTGCAGGATGTCTGCGGTGCGTTTCCTGGGGCCCAATCGGGCCAAATTCGCGGGGGCGAGCGACGCAGGGCGTGGCGGTAGCAAAGAATAGCGAAATCTGGTAGGAATCTACACAAATTCTAAGGAAAATCAGAATTCGGCGAAAATCACTCCGGAATCCCCCAGATAGTACCGTTGACGAACCGTTGACGGTTTGACCGTTGACGAACCGTTGACGGTTTCGATTTTGTGAGGATGTATCAGGCGAAACACAGGGTTTACCGTTGACACCTGACCGTTGACGAACCGTTGACGAACCGTTGACGAACCGTTGACGGTTCGTTGACGCCTGGAAATCGAGCTGGACTGCCGAATTCAGCGTTTGCTCGCCCCCCGCCGCGAAAACCAGGGTGTTTCGTGTGTTGACGCTTTCGGCTAAACGCAGATGCCCGTGGATCCCGTGATCGTACCTCCTTCGAACTTATTCTCAGCACCGCGTGGCACTGCCACACACCGCTTTGCCCGACTGGGCGTTCGTTGGGCTATGTGCACACCGACGCACGCTCGCTTCTCTGCTGTAAGCCGTGGTGGCTCACTGCTGACAATGCCGAGAGCCTGTGCGCAGGCTCGGTCGGCGCTTTGCAGCTAAGGGCGCTGGCGACGCCCAGCGATATACGTACGCGCGGCCAGACGCCGTGGCGCCGTGACCACCCCTCCCCATACACCCCCTATATGAAACCCGCGTCAGCATTCTGGCCGTGTAGGGGCGCGAAGCGCGAGATTAACGGTGGGGGCGCCAGGGTGTCTGGCCGACGTCTGTGCACGCTCATGGGTAGTGCTGCAATCTTTCTCTTACCTGCTCTCCTTGCACACGCATTTTCGTCAACTCTGACCTGGCCCGTCTACACTACTCCTATATTCCTCAACTCTCATGTTCGATGCCCCTCCATCCCTCCCCCCGTCGCTCGCATGTCCACCGTCTCCTTTTTTTTCCAGGGTACGCGGTCAATCGCAAAACAGTTGGCCCTACAGGGTCCCGACGTCGTCGGTAACATGCCATCTAAGTCATAATGCACAGCGTAGTATCAACGTTCCTAGTTCGTCTCGTCATGATCTCTCGCAACGTCTGATGTGTGCAACGTCGGCTTCTAGACATGCAACGCAGTGCCGCGGTCGGTCTACTTAGACCGAGTTTCAAGCGGATGGGGTGACTGCGAGCGCGTGGCATTTAAGCATATGAGCGTCAACTTGTATGAGGCATGCTCTCGACAAGGACTCGGCACCGTTGGATGGGGGGTCGTTAAGCTGGCGTATACTTCGCGTTGCCCAAGAGGCTGTGCAAATGCAACCATATTACCAAATCACGCCACCCCCAACCTACATCCCGCCAACATGTTCACCCCGCCCCCGAAATCATGGAGTATGGTATTCGGGTCGCAGTGCCCCACCCTCATCACCACCATCACCACCATCGTCGTCATCATCATCATCATTGGAATAACTTCCGAAGCCGTGGAGGTGTCAAAGCCACGCTTCGGCGGGCCTGCCCCCCCTCCCCCTCGTGTTCGGAATGGGCCGCCGTCGGCTGTCTCGGAGCCGCAGCGGGCGGGCCTGGACGGCACCGTCTCTGGTTGCGCGCGAGAATGGTGCAGAGGCGCTGAGGATCCTTGTCGGGCTGTATGCGTCGTGCAAATTGTCCGCCAAAGACTTCTCGATTCTGTGTTGGCACTTGGATAAGGCTGGTACTCCAGGAGGAGACTTTAAACAATATGCAGGGAGTCCAACTCTACAGACTGGCAAGTATCAGCATATTCTTGACAGGGTGTTACCCAGCCCAGGGCCGTTGTATGACATCAAAACTCCTGGTAACTGGAATGGTCGAGGTCACAGGTCAACCATGACGTTACCATTCCGAACAGCGTTTGAGGCAATCGACACAGAGTTGGTCACCGACCCATCTGTGTCAGAGGTACTTGACGGCCCAGACGATGGTCGCCCTCAGTGCGCACTGGATACACGGGCATACCAGAACCACCCATTAGTTGTGCAGGCCCGAGAGGCCAACGAACCCAAACCCCTTCCTCTTGGGTTTTATCTGGATGGGATATGCTACCAGAGCGGGGCATCAGGGCGACAAGACACGGTCCTAGGGTTCTGGGCCATCAATCTAGTATCGGCTAAGCGCCACTTACTGGGTGGCCTTAAACTTCGAGACGGGTGCCGTTGCGGTTGCAAGTTCTGGTGCACGTTGTATCCAGTGCTGTTTGCCATGTGTAGGCCTTATCCGCGCAGCCCGCGCGTCCATTTTAGCATTGGATGCTCGTTTTGGACGATCATGGATCGTCTCCGCTCTAATCGGGTCTGCGGCGAGTGCGCATGCTCGGTCATGCAATGGCGATCGACATGATACGCCCGACCGTCGACCGATGGGGGTGAGTTCTTTTGATGCGTCAGCGCGCACCTAAGGCGATGGATGTTCGTGGCACTTGCGAACGGCAAGCGCCCAGACCGCAGACATGACGGAAGTGCGTGGGAGGAGGGGGACCCGCTTGGAACTCGAGAGCCATTGCGTCGGAAAGCAATACTCCTTTGGATTAAGGGCGACTGGGCAGAGCACAGTAAATCCCTCGGCCTCGCTTCCTGGAGCAGCTCTTATAGCCCTTGCCAATTCTGTTCTCTGGCGAGGGGGGAATTGCATTCTATGAACCAGTGTTTGATATGTGACACCTCTGGACCTGTTTGGCCACTTCGGGGGCATGATGACTATGAAACAGCATGTGGCAAATGCGAAATTTACGTAACCTTCCATACCCACGCCGAGCGAGAGTGCGTTCTGCAACACATTGAGTGGAGCCCGAAGGGTGGTCGGAGAGGTCCTACCGTGGTCTCTCGCGTCGCGGTCGGCGGCATTACCCTTCTGCCAGGGGACAGGCTTGAACCGTCCGAGTTCCTGCTGGATATAGGTAAGTTCGCGGTGGCGCAGCTGCCCCTCAGAATCGTGTTCTGGAGGTCTCGGGTTGGCTTGGATGGTTCGACGGTGGATCCCGTAGTGCACAGGTCTTGGGGCAACTCAAAAAACAGAAGACCTACCAGATCCAAGCTGGTGCGTCATATCAGCGCCACGGGGGGTTAACGCGGGTGCACGGTGCTTAGCTGAAGTCGGGGGATATGCTCGCTAGGGGGAGGTGTGTCGCGTGACGTAGCCGATGGACGGGGGTCATCCGTGGCATGATTTGTTTTGGAACTATTTGAGCCAAGAGCAGTCGTCAGTTGAGACTGGTCGAACTCCCACTTGATATGAATCGAGTTTGAGTTGCCAAACCTTTGATCCAAAATGGCTACGTATCCATGGCACGTTCAGCGTTACCTTCCCACCTCCACCCCTCGCGCTCATCATCCTCCTTGCCCCCCCCCCCCGCCCTCTGTATTCACATCCCCACATGCCCTCCATCCAGCGATGTGTCACGCGATCGCGTGACACATCGCTGGATCACGTGCGCTCCTGGATCTGGTCGGGCCGTCTGTCACATCCCCTAATGCACTGCCCCGTGGACGATGAGCACAGCACAAATGTTGCTGCGCGTGTTTGCTAATTTCATGAGGTGCCCGCTATTTGATATTGCCGAGCTCCATACTTCTCCCAGCAGGAGTCTTGCAGTGGACAGCCTCCACACACTGTACTATGGCCCCGTGCAGCGCTATGTGGCATCAGCTATGTGGCGCGTGATTTCAACGAACCCCTGGAATTGCACAGGGACCTTGAAAGCACGGCTCGAGATTGGATGTCGGAGACTGTCAGAAGACATGGGAAGGTGGTTCGGCGGAGATGGGTCGTGGGTACCGCACTCGCAGCGCATTGGTTTTATAACCTTGGGTTCTTTGGGCTCCAGAAAAAACGTTCAGGACCTAGCGAAGCACCCTGGGGGGCCGATGAGCTTCAAAGCTGCAGAGACGGGCGTGCTGCTCGAGTTCGCGCTGTACGAGCTTCAAGCTACGGGTGGCGCCCAAAAATATGGATCTCACATGATGCAAGCTGGACACACGTTGTGCAGATATCTTCAGCTGGTGCGCGACAACCCGTGCATTGTGAGTGATGCTGCGTGCAAAGAGCTCATGACGTGCATGTGCGTGCACCTGCGCTGTTGTGAGTTGGTCGGAATCAGCTTGACTCCAAAGCACCACTTATGCGTCCACATGACCGACAGGAGCTTGACTTTAAATGGCAACGCAAGCTGATGCAGGTGCTCGTATGCTCCCCTGCCACACCCCGCTACATCAGAATGGGACTCTGTACCATTCAGGGTTGTAGCTCGAGCAGGGGAGCATGCTCGCGTCTGCATCAGGCTGTGCGCTGGAAGAGGGGGTCGCACCGACCATCCGAATGCCATGTCATCGACGTTTCGCAGCGGATGATTGAGCAAAGTGGCTCCCAACGACGACGTGGGCTCCAAACAGTTGTATCACCCCCCTGGTGTAAGCACTGCTTTGGGGACGGACACCCGCTGCAACATACTGTGGTCTTCCAAAGTGGACGTCCAGCGCAGCGGGAGTGCCGCCGTTCGGAGCCGCTGCACCAATTATCCAGCACCCTCCCCTCCCCTCCTTCAGCAGGGGGAAGGCAACGTAATTCGGAGGACGAGGATGACGACGATGACGAAAAACGGAAGCAAGAGGATGACGGATGCAGGGAATGGTCAGGTGACGATGGGCGGATGGACGAGTAATGACGACGACGAGGGGGAAGGGAATTACGATGGACCACCCATAGCACCAGGATTTCCGAGCACGGGTCCTTGAAAATGTACAATTGCTTCATCGACGAAACGCTGAATTTACCAGTGAGAAACATAGCTCGGTTTGCCCACCGCATGACATTTCACAGGAGGCTTTTTACTTTGATCGGTATTGCTGGAGCCCTGAATTTAGTGCAATACATCCCTGGCGGTGAATGGCTTCCGTTGGTTTCTGGAT